ACAATGTTTTCAAAAATAGATATCATGGTTAGTAGAGGCCGATCTTTGATCGGGCGAGCGGGGGTGCTCATGAAGTGACCTTCCCCAATCGTACCCAACTTCCTGAGCCGAGGCAACTTTGGTGATGACAGACACGTGGCCTTTAGCACCGAGTCAGGGTTTCCTAAATTTTCCAAAATAAAATATTTAGGTGGCGACTCTGTATCTGGCAAAGCAGTCCATGTTTGGCACTTCTTTCAAAAAATCTGTTTTCTCAAAAAACGATTTGCCGGATTTGGACTCTTTGGTTCAGACTTAGAACCGTGACTACGAAAATCGAGTCCGAGCTGTAGCGAGGCCCCCCCACGGGCTTGTTACAGTGGTTAAGGTCAACTAGCATATCAAAAGTTCATGGGGTTGGGGAAGGAATTGAAGAACTTACAGTGAATGAGAAAACATAAACCAGAGAGAGAGAAGCAGCAACGGTGAGAGGAGAAGCAGCGCTGGAAAGGCCAACGGCGGCGACTAGCAAGAGCAGCGGCGGCACCGATCAGCAAGGAAAGGAGGATGAGCAAGAGGGGAGATGGAGAGGCGCGTTGATCAGTGGCCATCGACGACAGAGGCGAGATGGAGAGCCGCAAGAAACCCTAGAAAGAAATTGCCCAGCTCTTTCTCTCTCTACCAAAGCAATTTCATGAGCTTATATACAATATGGGAATAATTATTTAATATAAAAATTAAATTGAAAAATTATATATAATCACACCAAACTGTGATGAAAATAAATATATATAACCACACTTATTTAAAATGTGTGATTGCGAACATTTGACATACAAGGAAAATGGTATGATAAGAATCACAATATCAACAAGCTATTCCAACAACAAAAAAATTCCATAAAAAATGAATGGTTCATTGGTTACAAAGAGTACAGTGCACGCGGTTAAGATCAACTAGCATATCAAAAGTTCATGGGGTTGGGGAAGGAATTGAAGAACTTACAGTGAATGAGAAAACATAAACTAGAGAGAGAGAAGCAGCAATGGTGAGAGGAGAAGCAACGCTGGAAAGGCCAACGACGACGACTAGCAAGAGCAGCGGCGGCGCCGATTAGCAAGGAAAGGAGGAGGAGCAAGAGGGGAGATGGAGAGGCACGTTGATCAGTGGCCATCAACGACAGAGGCGAGATGGAGAGCCGCAAGAAACCCTAGAAAGAAATTGCCCAGCTCTTTCTCTCTCTACCAAAGCAATTTCATGAGCTTATATACAATATGGGAATAATTATTTAATATAAAAATTAAATTGAAAAATTATATATAACCACACCTGAAACTATGATGAAAATAAATATATATAATCACACTTATTTAAAATGTATGATTAAAAAAAATATTATCTCACTCATTAAATTAAGTGTGATTAAAAAATCATTTTAATTTTTTTAATCACATTTCTAATAAAAGTGAGATATTTTTATTTCTTTTTGTGTGATCTTTAATCACATGTTAATTAGAAGGTGTGATTAAAAAATATAAATACAATCACACTTAATTGAAAAGTGACATAAAAAATAAATAGTATCACACTTAATCAAATCAAGTGTGATTAAAATATCAATCTAATTTTTTTTATCACATTTCTAATAAAAGTGAGATATTTTCATTTGTTAAAGTGTGATCTAATCACACTCATTTAAAAAATGTGATTAAAAAGTAGTAGTGTATATATAATCACACTTTAATTAGAATGTGTGATTAAAAAATATATATATAATCACACTTATTTAAAAAGTGTGATTAAAAAGTAATAGTATATATGTACTCGTACTTTAATTAGAATGTGTGATTAAAAAAATGTATATATAATCACACTTAATTGAAAAGTGACATAAAAAACAAATATTATCACACTCAATCAAATTAAGTGTGATTAAATATCAATCTGATTTTTTTTATTACACTTTCAATAAAAGTGAGATATTTTCTTTTGTCAAAGTGTGATCTTTAACTATTTTTGTAATAGTGGTGTCACCTCTTCACTAACATTCTCATCAAATTGCTTTTTTCTGCAAATGACACGCTTTTCGCAAAATACTGGATCAATTTCCATTAGAGTAGCAACTTCTTTTGCCTCAATCATGGCATCCAAAAATCCAGTTTCTCTATACTTTTCAAGAAAGGTAATGAGTCTTTTTAACTGAATTATAGCAACATCAATATGCATATCTTCCCTTTGAAATATTTTGCTAACTGAGTTAACTACAAACAATAAATTGTGCCAAATAATCATGCCAAGCAAAAATTCAAAGTTCTCAATTTCGTATGTTGCTAAAGACTCAGCTTCACTCTTTGTATTGTGGGGTTCACCAAGATTTGCCAAATGATTTAAAGCATCTCTTATTTGTGGAGCTTGATATCTTATTGCTTTAATACTTTCAACGTGACTTTCCCACCTTGTTTGTGACAATGGCTTCAATGTGAGACCTTCCACATGATTTTTGAAAACTTTCCACTGCTTTGTAGAAGATAAAAACAATAAATATATACATTGTAATACTCCAAAAAAAGAGATAGCTTTGGGACAAGAGTTAGCCATATCACAAAGTGCAAGGTTAAGACTATGACAACCACATGGTGTGTAGAATGCTCTAAAATTTATTTCAAGTAGCCTTTTCTGTACACCTTTGTGTTTCCCTTTCATGTTAGAGCCATTATCATATCCTTGCCCTCTTATATCACCAATATCAAGTTGGAGTGTGCACAATACATCTTTAAGTATATTAAAAAGAGTCAATCTCAATGTGTCATCCACCTTTAAAAATTCTAAAAAGAACTCTTCCACCTGTACTTGATTAGTTGAAACATCCACACATCTTACTACAGGAGACATTTGTTCTTCATGACTAACATCTGGAGTACAATCAAGAATAACTGAAAAATATTTCACTTCTTTAATTCTTTTCACAATTGTACTTTTGATCTCACCCGCTAACATCTGTATCAATTCATTTTGGATTTTGTGACAAGGATAATGGTAATGAATTTCATTCCTTTCAATGCGATGTAGGTGGTCTTGCATTACCGAATCAAATTGAGTAATCATTTCAATTAAACTTAAAAAATTTCCATTTCTTTCTTGATAAATCTTCTCATTGTCTCCACGAAACGCTAAATTATTTTTAGCAAGAGTTCTCACAACAACAATTATCCATAGGAACACATTTTTCCAATGTTCTCTCACCCTATTGATTTGTTCTTGAACACCTTTATCAATTGTTTCATTCTTTTGCAATCTTTTTTCCAATTCAATCCATTTGCTCATACAAGTAATGTGCTCATTGCTAGTTTCATGACTTCTAAGCCTGTGACTTAGATTCTTCCAATCTTTAAATCCATTAGTAGCCAACTGAGTCTTGTTCCCATCTTCCTTAAACAACTTACACCAAAAGCAAAATACTTTATTTGATGCATCTAAATATACTAGCCATTTCCTATCTTGCTTCTCTCCATTTGATAAATTTCGAATGTAATATGTAGAGGAGAAATGTCTATCCTTGTCATCTCTAGGAAAATCGACAACATTACTTCTTATAGGACCTCTTTCAACTAATAAATCTCTGAAATTCTGATCAATCTTGTCCCAATTACTTGGGTCATTAATATTTAAAGGTCCATATTTAA